TATTCTGGTTGCACCGGGTCTTAGTTGTAGCAAGCAGGCTCCTTAGTTGCGGCATGTGGGGTCTAGTTCCTGGGCCAGGGATCAACCCTGGGCTCCCTGCACTGGGAGGACAGTCTTAACCACTGGGCACCAGGGAAGTTCTGGTGGTGCCAATTTAAGTACAAACAGTGGATGCTTGAGCGGCCTACCATTTAATGAACAACATTCCATCATTCAGGAAGCTTCTAACCACAACCACAAAAAAGAGTTTGAACTAATAAAGTTTAACTCCTGGGACTTCCCTGGTGGCGCAGGGGACACAGGTTCAAGCCCTGGTCCAGGAAGATCCCACATGCCGCGGAGTAACTAAGCCCGTGTGCCACAGCTACTGAGCCCATGTGCCACAACTACTGGAGCCCGCACACCTACAGCCCGTGCTCCGCAACAAGAGAAGCCACCGCAATGAGAAGCCCGCGCACCGCACCGAAGAGTAGCCCCTGCTCGCTGCAACTAGAGAAAGCCCACAAGCAGCGACGAAGACCCAACGCAGCCAAAAATAAATAAATAAGGTTTAACTCTATTCGGATTAAATTAAATTAAATTATCCCAGGTCTCAGTTTATGGGTTCCTAACATTTGGAGGTCACTGTGATCGACCCCAGTAAACCACTGACCGCACACACACATGTCAAAGCCAGTCCTAGTTTTCAGTTGACGTTCAATCTTATGCAGCCCGACACCTGAGTCTACCTTTGATTTCGGCCTTTTTACCTCGTTAACGTTAATTCTTCACCTCTGTGGAGTTTCCCAGCCCGAAAGCACTCGGCCAGCTGCTGCCAGTACAGGCAGATTCGCACCAACTCTGTTTCTGCAAAGATGACACAGAAGAAAGAAAAAAAAAAAATCAACCTCCAAAAACACTAGGCTTTATGTGTCAAGGGTCTTTGGAATATTCATTTCTTCAGTCTGGCAATTCGATTTCCGGGAATTACCTGAAAGAAATCATCTGAGTGCAAAGGAAGCTGTGTCAAGTAAGAAAGACCACAGAAAAGAACACAAATTACCCCAAGACACAGCAAGGGACTAGGAGAGGACGGCAGGCAACCCCGGGAGGCAATGTGCAGCCGTTACATAGGTGCTCATAAAGATGTGTTTACGGGCATCTGAGACGTGCTTCTCTTTGTGGTATATTTCATCACACTGAAGACACCTCGAGCAAATGCTGTAACCGAATTTATTTGAAATTTAATGCAAAGTCTTCTGGAGTTGGCAGTGCCCCCAGGTGACAGTCAGAAGCAAACAGGACCCCTTTGGAAGAGCTGAGTTTCAACACAGGCTGACGGCGCCTGTAAGACACCATCGGTGCATGATCCAGAGACGTGTAAATAAGTGAGTCACAGAATTCGTGTTAAACCAAAAAGCAGAATAAAATGGCATGTGGATAATGACATGTCTTTGCAGACGTGACCAGCTGGAAGGAACTACACTAAAATGTTAATATGGATTTTCTGTAGGTAGTAAGACCAGAGTTTTCTCTCTCTCTAAACAACTCTTCACTTTCTGGATTTTCCTAAAGTGAGCATGTATTTAGTGACCATATAGGAAACAGGAGAAACAAAACAGGGTGATGTACGTAAGGAGGGGCTGGTCAGGGAGGGCTTCTTCGAGGAGGTGACTCCTGAACTGGGAAGGGGCCTGCATGGGAGAAGCGGTCAGAGCTGAGCAATGCTGCATCCCATGTCAGGATGGGGCCCAGGGCCCAGGGCAGATGCTCGATACATATCTGTTAAATGAATACACTAGTTGAGGAGAAGCTGCTAAAACGTGAGGCTAAGTCTCCAGGGGTCCCAACCAGAGTCTGGGTCTTTAGCGGGGCCATTCTCACCAGACTGAGCTACCGCACAGGCCGGGCTACCAGCGGAGCCAACAGCAGGACTCAGAAGAAAGTCTGCAGCTGCAAGTTCAGCAGAAGACTGTGGTCGCGTCTAGTTTCCCCACCTGTGAAATGAGAGTCGCACCTCTGCCACCACACGAGCTTCAGATGACACAGAGCTTTGAAATACTGAGCCCAGCGCAGGTACGAGGGGCTGAGCTGCTCCAAGGTGTCCTCGTGGGAGCCCAGACTCCTCCCTGCAAACCCAGCACCTCTGGGCTCACAAGCTGTTCTGGCCCGCTGCTCAGCACGTGGAAAAGATGCCGCATCAGCTGCGTCCTTCCTGCCCGCCTGTACTTTCCTGGACACGTTTACTGTGTACAGGCCTGTGCTAGAAACTGCGGATACGGACACGAAAGATGGGGCCCTGCCCTTGGGAGATTCAGAGGGTGCCAGGCACAGCCGGGCGAGCAAGGAGAGTGCTGTGAGCCCCGGGACTGATCGCACGGCAGGGAGGACAGGCTTCCCGAAGGAGGAAGCCAAGACAGAAACGACAGCCGCCCACGGGGCAGGATCAGTGAGCACATTGTTTCGTTTTACCCTCACAATTTTGTGAGGTTATCTCCATCTCACAGATGGGGGCCGGAGGCTGGGCTGCTTGCCAAGGTCACGGAGCTTAGGGACAGCAGCGCCAGGATTTGCACGCTAGCCTGGGGGATGGGGGACAAGGGGCACTGGGGCGCCGAGGGTGACACAAAGGGCCAGGTGGGCTGCGGCCTCCTTGTGAAGAAGCCGATGTAAGCAAATCCAAATGGGCCTGAAAGGGAAGATGTCCCTGGGCTTTCTGTCCAGGTCACGCCCCTGCCCCAGCCACCTACTTGGAGGACTCCTGCCCTAGTCCCAGCTGCTCAGGGTCGGGGCGGGGGGAGTGACCATCTAGCTGGGCCCAACGCAGTCACACGAGTCCTTAAAAACAGAAAAGGCAGGCAGCAGAGAGGCCGCAGGAGGCTGAGCCGGAGAGATTCAACAGTGGGAGAAGGACTAAGCCCAACATCGGTGGCTGTGAAGGGGTCACCGACCAGGGATGCGGGTGGCTGAGAGCCATCCTCAGCTGACGGCTGGCAATGAAATGGGAACCTCAGTCCCACATACAATTCCAGGGAACTGAACTCAGAGAAGCTAAATGAACCTGGAAGCCGATTCCCACCAGAGCCTCCAGAAGGGACCGCAGTCCTCGATTCCGGCCCGTGAGACTCAAGCAGAGAACCTGCTGAGCACCCAACGCCCAGACTCCCGACTCACAGGCACTGTTGTCAGCTGCTACGTTTGCAGCAAGCTGTTACGGCCACAACTGGAAACTGAGAGTCCACCATGAGGTGGACTCACGGTGAGGTGGTGGGATGGGGACACATCTGACGTCCCCACTCTGACTCAGCATGGTAGGCCTGCGCTGGGGGACCCGGGCACTGACACACACACACACACACACACACACACACGCTCTGTAAATGAAAGCCTTTACGCTCTGAGGTGTGTGCCAGCCTCACGGGTGGCTGGGTCGCCAGCCCCTGGCACAGACCAAACAATCTGTTAGCTTTAACGGTCAACATGAAGACAAGGGCAGACACTTCCCTGGCGGTCCAGTAGTTAGGACTCTGCGCTTCCACTGCAGGGGGCCTGGGTTCGATCCCTGGTCAGGGAACTAGGGTCCAGCACGCCTCGTGGCCCGGCCAAAAAAAAAAAGAACAAGAGCAGGTCCCTGAGAGACTGGCCACATTAGGGAAAACAGCCAAGGAGAAGCGTCCATGTACAGAAGAGAGGGCCCAGGCCTGGGGGCCCAGGAGAGCTGGCTAAGGGGCCGGCAGACAGCAGCCCTTTCCTTGTGTCCCCACCTCAAACCCGGAAGCGGGCTCTGACCTCTCTCAGGAGGGGGGCGGCAAGGACACATCAGTTGGTAAGGGGCCATGGCAAGATGCCCCTCCTGGACGAGGAGAACCAGGCGCCTGAGGAGCCGCAGAGAGGAGCAAACACCCTCCAAACTCCCATCTTTGCCACAAAGCCGGCAGCAAAGGCCCTGAGGTCATCTGGCCACAGGATTCCTGCCTGTCTCAACAGGGTCCAGAGGACCTGGCTGGGCCACCATCTCCCTGTGGAGTTGTCAGCCGGCCCCTCCCCTCTGGAGGCTTTACTTCCCCCACTGTGGTAACATTGATATCTCACATGTCTTTAAATGCAAAGTGTTTTCCATGTATTCATTCATCTCATCCTCAAAACGGTCCCAAGTGCTTCTATTAGCCCACTTCATAGTTGGGTTGGTAGAGGGGTTTGGCATTAAAAATTTTGTTTTAGCTGACAAATCCCTTTCTGAAAGGGAACATTAAAAGAAAATCCAAGGTGCAAGACAGACATGTTAGAGCGACTCAGGATGGGAGGAAGGGGTTGGGGGTGAGAGGCTGGCATCCCACTCAGCTAACGGTCTCCCCACAATGACTCCCAAGGGGCTCCTCACAAATTAGGGGCCCTGAAGACACGTGTCTGAGATCGGGGCTGAACCCTGAGGCCTGGCAGGGCTCACTCGGCCAGGAATCCCTTCCCGAGAATGCCCGACTGCCCCGGCTGAGGGGAGGGTGGTGAAGCTTTGGGACAGCTTTGGGAGAGGTCCGCACCCGGCCTCACCAACACCCTGTGGATGCCAACTGGGGGAAGCCAGCTCCCGAGACTGGACCGTGGCAGCCCGACGACTGCCGGTGCCCCGCCAGGTGGGGCGCGGCCCCGGAAGCCGAAGCCGTCCGTTCCAGGCACAGCCCCGCACCCCGCTCCGGGCGCAGACCGCACCCACGGGGCCCCCCCGACCCCGGCACAGACCCGCCACCTAACGTGCGCGCGCACGCCCGCCAAGCGCTTTCACAGTCACGGCACCCACTCCCCCGCTCGCTACCCCCCACACGCGACCGGCCTCGCGCCCACACCGTTCCCCACCTCAGCGCGCTCGGCGCCAAGCCTCCCCGGCGGGGGCAGGAGCCCCTGGGTCGGCAGCGGGCGAGGGTGGGGCACCCGCGGCAGGCCGCGCCCACCGCTCCTCGGCCCCGCCCCTGGCCCGGCCCCGCCCCTGGCCCGGCCCGGAGGATGTGAGCTCACTCCCACCTCCCTGCTCCCGGCGCCGCCAGGAAGCGTCCGCCCGAGGTCGCGGCCCGCTCGCTGCCAACGGGCCGGCCGCGGCGTCAGCAGCGCGCCAGGCACCCGGCCCGAGTCGCCCGCCCCGACCCTCCCGGCGCCACACGCAGTAGCTGCTTTGCAAATGGGTACGGGGTGAAGGCGGGCACCGGGGCGGAGAGAGGACCCCGCTCGCCGACTCCGCGCCGGCCGCCCCCGCCCGTCGCCGGGGGAGGGCGGGCGCGCACGCCCTGCCCAACGCGCTTCCGGCCGAGCCACGTGACCGCGCGCGCACGTGTTCCGGCTCCTCGGCGCCGCGGGCCGGAAGCTGCTCCCGGCCGGTTCCCGGCTGCTGCCCGCCGAGAGCCGTCGCGGGCCGGCGGGGGAAGCGGCGGGCCGGGAACGGCGCAGACGCGGCGCCCGCCGGGGAGCGGGCAGCGGCCTCGCCATGAACCCCAGGGGCCTGTTTCAGGACTTCAACCCGAGTAAGTTCCTCATCTACGCCTGCCTGCTGCTCTTCTCCGTGCTGCTGCCACTCCGCCTGGACGGCGTCATCCAGTGGAGCTACTGGGCCGTGTTCGCCCCCATCTGGCTGTGGAAGCTCCTGGTCCTCGCGGGCGCCTCGGTGGGCGCGGGCGTCTGGGCGCGGAACCCGCGCTACCGCGCGGAGGGGGAGGCCTGCGTGGAGTTCAAGGCCATGCTGATCGCCGTGGGCATCCATCTGCTGCTGCTCATGTTCGAGGTCCTGGTTTGCGACAGGGTGGAGCGGGGGACCCACTTCTGGCTGCTGGTCTTCATGCCGCTCTTCTTCGTGTCCCCCGTGTCCGTGGCCGCCTGCGTGTGGGGCTTCCGACACGACCGGTCCCTGGAGCTGGAGATCCTGTGCTCCGTCAACATCCTGCAGTTCATCTTCATCGCCCTGAGGCTGGACCGGATCATCCACTGGCCGTGGCTGGTGGTGTTTGTGCCCCTCTGGATCCTCATGTCGTTCCTCTGCCTGGTGGTCCTGTATTACATCGTCTGGTCCCTCCTGTTTCTGCGCTCCCTGGATGTGGTTGCCGAGCAGCGAAGAACACATGTGACTATGGCCATCAGCTGGATAACGATCGTGGTGCCCCTGCTCACCTTCGAGGTTCTGCTGGTGCACAGGCTGGACGGCCACAACGCGTTCTCCTTCATCTCCATATTCGTCCCCCTCTGGCTTTCGTTAATCACGTTGACGGCCACCACGTTTAGGCGGAAAGGGGGCAACCACTGGTGGTTTGGTATTCGCAGAGATTTCTGTCAGTTTCTGCTCGAAGTTTTCCCATTTTTAAGAGAATATGGGAACATTTCCTATGATCTACATCATGAAGATAGTGAAGATGCTGAAGAAACAGTGGCTCCAGAAGCGCCTAAAATCGCTCCGATGTTTGGAAAGAAGGCCAGGGTGGTGATAACCCAGAGCCCTGGAAAATATGTTCCCCCACCCCCCAAGTTAAGTATTGATATGCCAGATTAAACCTGTCTTCTGGGGCGTGTCCGCTAGTGGAAGAGAAACCGTATACACATAAAATCCACCTTCCCTTGCCCTCTTTTGCTCATCCATGCCAAACCTGGAACTGAAAACAGGCTCCAAACATCATTTCATGCCTTGTTTGAGATTGATGCCTGTCAGTGACTCATCAGTATTCACCAGAGATGTAGGAGGTTATTTGACTGCACAGCTGTGTGTGCGTGCAGTGTGCCTCCATATGTGAGGAGCTTGTTCTCTAGGCTGGTGTTTGCGAGCTAGCTGAGAGCAGTAAATAGAATTGTTTAGGTAGGTCCTCAAATGGAGTGACTACACAGCTGGGTTTTTTTTAAAGTGGTACTGTACCTATCAAAAGTATTGTTTTGAAAAGTATTTTTATACACTGCTAACGTAAAACTGTATTTCAGGTTGTGCCTGTTGTGACAGTAGCAAATGTAAAGAATTCTCTTTCCCACCACTTGCATATAAGCCTCATAGTTGTTATTTTTAGTGTTCCTACTGTTAGAATGGTTTTTCTTTGGGTTTTGCCGATACTGGTTTTTAGTAGCCTAATAAGTGAATTTTTCTAATGCAGTGAATCCATCCATATATGATATTTATATGACTATTTTAGCACTGTAACATATTATGTTGAATTCTCGTTTGTGCAGTACGGTGTATTATGTTAAAGTATTTTTTAAAGTTTATATGTGAAGATATATGTCTACTGCAGATGTTGTTAAAGATTGCTTAAAACATGAATATGTACCTGGCATGGGGTCTTATTAAAATTCTAGGCGTGAATATGGGGGTTGAAAGTCCCAAGGATCTTCATATTCAGGTGTTAGATGATTCCGTCTGCACAGCTTGGAGGTCTCTCTTGGAAGGAGCCACTATCCTTTGGGAACACGTGACATGCTCCAGTGTGGTACCAGAGCCTAAAGTGACACATATTTAGCACCTTGAATTCTTCTCTTCAGAAACAGCCAAAAGAAGCAGGTGGTCTGTCCATTTCTAAGAATCTTAGAATATTAGTTGGCCATGATATAAAGTGGTGTTGGTACTTGTTATTGGAAAGCTGGAGAGAGCGGCCTTAACCGGAAATGGTCAGCAGGATCAAGTATTGTTTTAAGGTCCAAACGTTTTGATCTGGCAGCGACAGGGAAGTAATAGTTCAGGTTATTTTTTAAATTTTGCTTTAGGTACTGGTGGTACCAGGGAATCAGAAGGGCAAAAACCAGATCCTGGGAGAGTAATGTTCTTCTGACCGAGAACAAATAAATACTTCCAAAAGAAGGTTAAAATTAAAAGGAGTATTGATGTTATTACTGGGGAGAAGGCTGGAGGGAACCCGTTTCTCTTACTAGCAACCTAGTAAAAATCTCAGCTGCGGTCCGTATGAATTAAGTAAACAATTTACCTGGTGAGAGGACACGCTAGCAGCAAAGCCACCCATGGGAACCTGGGTCTCTGGAAGCCTGAGGGTGCCACAGCTCAGTTTAGTCACGTAGAACTGCCCCGAGGTCACCACGTGCACACAGTCACCTTCTGCCAGCCGGCAGCCCTGAGCAGCAGTGGGTGTGACATTTCATGAGCAAGGATTCATTCGTTTGCTTTCTCAGCAAATATTTGTTGAGGACCTACTCTGAGCCAGACATGGATGTGCAGATCCATCGGAAAGTAACTCAAATGTGGCCCCGGCCCGCACGCACAAAGCACGCAATTAAAATTGACGGGAAGGTGGTGCTCCTCATAGCAGCCGGCCTGGGGGAGGGGCCGGGCCCAGAGCAGGCTATGCTGAATGCCTGGGAGGGTGCTACCGGCCTCGGGGTGACCTCTGCCCGGAACTTCAGGCCCGCCTTTGTTTCCGCCCCCAGTGATACCTCAAAGGCCTTGGCTTACACTTGGGTAGGATATGGGAGCAAAGGAGAAGGTTGCTGAAGGAATTGAAGGGCAGGTTTGGGGGCAGCCGTGGGATCACCAGCCCCTCCTAGTTACAGTTTGAGGCCAGGGGCTTGCTGACATCTAAAACAATCCCTCCTAACCTGGGGGGGGGGGGTCCCTCCCCACACTCCACCAGCCCACCTCCTCTCCTCCTACCCCTGGGTGGCCCGGTGTTGGAGAGCCACTGCTTGGATGCAGTGACAAGCTTGCTCATCCCATCAGGCCTCTTTCCTGCCTCAAGTCCACTAAGTAGAAACAGTGGGAGTCACAGCTTGTAGAAAGTTGTTTCATCTGTAAAAGTTAATAATACAGTCTCAGCTGTGCCTGGGGATTTACTTAATTGCTGCTGCAACTCGACTATCCACAGTATTTAGCATGGGTCAAATTCTGTAACTCTTTAGTTTCTCCTGTTAAGATGCTTAGCTTTTACTGCCAAACAACTTCAAAAATCTCAGCGGCCTACCAATTACAAATTCTCGCTCTGGGGCGTCTGGCACTTACGCTCCGGGCCATGGCTGTGGTCCAGGTCTGTCCCACGAAGCATCCCGCATCCCTCCTGATTCTTTTCCGGGTCCCAGGGGCATGTCCTTTCTCAAGGCAGAAGCACAAGAGGCCAAGCCAATCCTGCAAGCACCCCTGTAGCCCCTGCTCTTGTATGACAAGTGCACTGTTCTGTTGGCCCAAGCACAAGGCCAAGCCCAACCTCAGGGGGTTGCCAATTCAAGCCCAAAGAACAATGACACAGTCTGCACAGATGTTGCAAGATAGTTTTGAAGGCTCGAAAGAAATCACAAAATTTGTGGTAAAACATTTTCCCCATTTTAAAAACATTCTGTAATTTTTACAGTTCACTGTTTAATATTGTAATAACAATTAGAAGGGACTCTGGGGTGGGTGGGGAGGGGATTTGAGGTGAGAAGAGGAAGAGCCTGCATTCACAGCCCTCTGTAAAGTGTGGAGGGTCACGGGGGCGCTGCCCGGGATGGGTTTATGACAGTGCTGGACTCCGAGGGTTTCCCTAGGGGCCCTGCGGGATGCTCTGGAAAGGTCCAGCCTGGGCTCAGGGGGACCAGCCGGGTAGGAGGTGCTGGGTAACAAGGAAGAAGCGGAGTCTAGACGGGCCTGGCAGCACAGCTGGTGAGGGACGAAGCAGAGCCTCCCGCCAGGCCTGCGCTGGACAGGACGCTGCCAGGAGCATCCGGGGAGCTCGCACGCTGGCAGGAAGGCCGGCACCAAGCTCAGCAGGCACGTGGGGGCCGAGGGAAGTCGTGTTGCCAGAAACCCCAGCAAGTTCGCAACTCAGGGGCCACGTGGTGACGATGCTCCAGTTGGTCCCCACCACCGGCCACGAGCCACTGCCACCAGTGTGGCCCCTGCTGCCATGAGGAATTCCTCAGGCGTCTCTGCCATGAGGTCAAGATTCAGGCACCAGGAGGCAGGTGTGATGGGCAAACCTCAGGTGTGCATTTGCCCCGCAGACCCCAGAGCTGAGGGGAAGTGAGCTGGTCCCCTTGGCGCTTGGAGAAGACCTGCCCAGGAGGGAGGGTGTGCAGCTGCTGGGTGACCAAGGCCAATGACAAGAGCCGACGCGCGTCATCCTCATGAGCTCACGCTTCAAAATCACGGCTCCCGTCTGGCCGGACGCAGCTGGCCTCGCGGCCAAGCAGGGGCTCCGCCCTCCCCCAGGGAGGAGGCGACGACTCAGAGCTGCCCCGTGGACTCCCTCGTCCTCCTCTTAGTCCAGGCCGCCTACTCCCCTCCTCTGCATGTTCTCCGTATATCCTAGAATGTGTGGATTCAAGTTACCACCACAGCAGGCCTCCAAGTGCAGTCCGAGGACCCCAGGGTCCACACGCACCTCCCTCCCCACGACACCTCTGGGGGAAGCAGACCCTCCTCATTCTTCAGCCGAGACGACGCTCTGCAGCAGGTGAGACGCGGGCGCGGGTCCCAGACGCGGCCGCCTTCCACCAGGCCAGGCGCTAAAGGTTTGCAAATGTGCAAGAACAATGCCACTCCTCTACTCACCACATTTCTTGTTATTTTTCATTTAAAAAAAAGTTATCGTGTAATGGACTTATTGTTTTTAAAAGAAGTGATATTTTTTAAAGTCATTGGCTTTCCCGTGTACCATGGAAAATGCTGCTACGACTCACAAAAAAGCGCCTTGGGGTCCTCACCAATGTTTAAGAGTGTTGGCAAGTGGTCCCGTGACCAGAAACTTTGAGAACCGCTGCCCTGTACTATAGTGGGGGGAAGAGAGAGGAAGGAAAATGAACATCGGGTGAAACGCGTTCAACTCTGCACGCTGTGGCGGACGGGCACGGCTCATAGGGTGCGCCCTCCCCTGCGACCCTCCACCACCCTGCTGTCCTCCGCGGGCACCTCGGGTGCTCCGGTTACATAACCGGTGGGGTAACTCCCACCATCATTCTGGAGCAGCCCGAGCCCTTTGCTGGTCCTGCTGCTTTTTCATTTAATTTCACCTAAAACAATGAGGGGCCTGGCAGAGCGCCGGGGTTCTGGCCAGAAGCCCCGCTCCTTCTGTGGCAGCAACACTACTGTCCCAAGGGCCCCCCCAGGGCAGCTGCGTTGGCTGGGGGGGCAGTGACCCCGACCGCCGAGGGGAAGCAGGGTTGGACAGCGGGCCCCCCCGGCGCTCACGGGCCACCTTCTCTGTCTTCTCAGGATGTCCTGTGGTTAAATCGCTGCCTGAAGGGCCGGGGAGGGGAAGTGGGGTGCGACACCTCCCTCCACCCAGTGGCTCAGGGCTCCCCTGCCGCCCCCAGCCTCCACCCTGTGTCCAGACACCTTGTGCAGAATCTGGGGCCACGTGGTCCATCGCACCTCTTGTCCCCCCCAGCCCCTGCTGGGCCCCTCACAGCCGGGTCGCAGGGGCTGCCCCTCCCACGGACGGGTCCTGCCAGCCCTCCATCCTCGGCTCTGCACCCCTCCCCACCCATCCTCTTCTTGGCCTGAGCAACTCTCTGGAAAGACAATGGTACGTGGCTGAAGTCCCACCCCTTGTGGCCTGCCCCAACTCCCACCCCCGACCCTGGGCTGCCCTGCCATGCCCCCACCCCCAGTGAGCTTGTTTGATGACAGGACTCTCGCTTGGGGGGTGCGGGGCCTGCTGGCCTGGTGGTTAAGTGTTCTGAGCATCACTTCCTGACTTGCCCCTCTCCTTGGTCCCTGACCAGCTCCTGTCCCCGGGACAGGACACTTGTGCCTAGTCTGCCGGCTGACCCTGAGGACCAGGCCGGACTCTGCCCCAGGCCAGGGGTGCATGCTGTAACCACAGGGCTCTGAAGCATCAGGCACACCCCTAAGAGCTGGGAGACCAGGGCCACGGCCACCTCGACCCAAGTCCCAGGCTCAGGAGGCCAACGGGGCCAGACATGCAGGCAGAGGAGCCTCTGAACGGCCACCATCCTCCCCAGAGGCTTCGGGCAGAAGTCATGAGTGGGGTGGCAGGGCCTTGCCTGGGACGTCCCCGAGACCCTGCCGCCCTATGGACGCTGCTTGAGGACTCCTGGCAGGTGAGAGCAGGCCAGCAGGCCACCCAGCGCTCCACTGATGGCCTGGGGCCAGCCCCAGGTTCCGTGGGAGGGAAAGACCCAGAAAGGAAGAAGGCGCAGGCCCCTCCCTCGGGAGGGCAGCAGTCCCCACACGCAAGGTCAAGTGACAACCATGTGCCCAAAATACAGTCTCAGCTCAGGCTGCCACGAAAGACTACTATAAACTGGGCGACTTAACAACAACTGGGTGATGTAAACAACACATTTATTTCTCACAGTTCTGGGGGCTGGACATCTGAGACCAGGTCCTGCTCCTTCAGATTCCGGTGAGGGCTCTCTTCCTGGCTGGCAGATGGTCCCGTTCTAGCTGTGACCTCACAGGGCCGAGAGAGAGGAAGCAAGCTCTCCGGTGCCCCTTCTTAAAAGGGCATTAACGCCATCATGGGGCCCCACCCTCATGACCTCATCTAACCCTAATTACCTCCCAAAGGCCCTGTTACCATCACATTGGTAGGTGGGGTTTCGATTTACGAATTTGGGGGAGGGGGACACAATTCAGTCCCACCCACTAAGCACGAAAGGCCCAAAGGCAGGGGACCAAGCCTAGCACTCACTCAGCTCACACATCCCGAGCAGCTTCCGAGTACCAAGTGCAGTGATGTGAGATCACAGAAAACATATACACTGGTCTCTGTCCCTGGTCCCTGACACAGAGCTCCTGAACCCCTTGTAAATTCCTAAGTGATAAAAGTACTGGGAGCATCTTTTGTTCTCATGAGGTGATGCTGGGTGGCTCCTGGGTGGGGCTGGTCACCAGAAAGACCAAATTGTGATTAGACGCTTGGAAT